GTCATGCTATGTATCAGAACAATAAATCAACTAACTCACATATAGGAGGGGTAGGACTTCTGATAAATAAAAGCATCAAACACTTGGTTACAAAAATGAAAGCAATATCAGAAAGAGTTAATTACATCACCTTAAAACTTTCATCAAGAAACAAGCTTCAGGGATTTTATTCTCGAAACAGGGGAGCAGCGTTCTAATGAGTACGAAAGTTCTGTCTTCGTCGTCCGTATTCATATTTCCATAACACTGACAATGACAGAGCAATCGTTCTCATGAGAACGCTGTTCCTCGGTTTCGAGAATAAAGTCCCAGGTAGTGCACGTATACGCACCAACAAGTACAGCACCAGATGAAGAGATCGAGCAACTCTACGAAGACCTAAGAACAGCAATCAAGTTAGAAGAGACGCAATACACTCTTATCACTGGACTTCAATGCCAAGATAGGCGACCTAAAAGATTTAAAAATTCCTCAAGTCGGAAAGTTCGGAATGGGTGGACGCAACTCGCGGGAAGAATCATTAATAAACTTTCTACAAAGCGAACATCTATTCTATATGAACTCCTTCTTCAAGAAATCCGTTAGTAGAAGATGGACGTGGCGAAGCCCGAACTTAGCAAACAAAAACGAAATCGACTATATACTCATTAACAAGAAATGCATAGTAACAGACGTCTCGGTACTTAATAAATTCGACACTAATAGCGATCACCGACTAGTTAGGGAAACAGTCAAACTAAATTTTAAGCCGAAATAAGTAAACTCATAAAGAATAAGCTGGACAAAAAACTCTTGACAGAACCCAGCAATGTCACAATCGACTGTTTGGCATACATACAGTTATCAAAAAACTAAACAATCGAACCACTCCTTAAAAATCAAAGCTCAAGCCGGATACTCGCAAAATGATAGCGGAGAAAGGAAGTCTGCACAGAGATTCACCTGAATACACCGAAATAAACCGAAACATCTCAAAGAAAATGAGACAAGACCTAAGACACCGGAAAAATAAAAGAGGTCATAGAAAACAACAAAAGCATAAAAATCCTTAAGCAGTCACAATGAAGAAGCAAAATAAGAATCCACCAAATGAAGGATAAGGACGGAAACATACAACACGAAAGAACAAAGATCATAACAATCATCCAAGAGTACTATATGGAACTCTACTCAGCACCACACCACAACCAAGATGTCGAACAGAACATGAACATAGAGAAGTCAGGTTCTGAAGACATACCAGAAATCACCATCTCAGAGATAACACTCGCACTCTCACAGCTTTAATCTGGAAGAGCTCCTGGGGAGGACGAAATCAGGAGGAGAAAATGCGCTAAAAGCAGTACAGTCTCTTTTTACAAAAATCATAGCAAACAAGCTAACATCAACGAAACAAAAATAGTCATGCAGTGGAGACCAAGAACACCCAAAAGCAGCAAAGGGAGACCCCCAAAAGAGGTGGATGGATGACATTTACCGGAGGGCAGGGAGAGGATGGCAACACATTGCACAAGACTGTCAGAGATGGAAATTGGAAGGGGAGGGAGGCTTATGTACAGGAGGGCACGCGACTGGGCTGCTTATGATGATGATGATGCTGATTCTTGACAGTCTAACATTGAAAAATGTCAGTTTAAGGAATACTTTTCGTTAAGGCTTCCCTAAAAAAGTTGTTGGAAATGGCCATTAGGTAGGTATGCCTAGGTAATTTCGAGGAAAAATTTCTACAGGCTATGAAAAATCAAATCTTTAGTTGAAGGACTACAAATCCCGAAAATTTTAGCTCATTCGGGATTATACTTATACAGATATATAAATCCGTTAATGTCAAGAGGACGAAATTTTATAACTTTTCAGTTTTTTCGTTCCACAACATTTTGGCTTTAATCTTGAAGTGGTTTACAGTATGGAGTTTGGCCGGTCATCTATAATTAAAATCTTTGAGATTTCAACTAAAGTTTTTAGTCAATAGACAATAGTCTATGTGATCACTATTAGTTTTTTCCTGTATCTTGGAATATTTATATTTTTAATATACTGTCAAACTATCAAAATAATTTATTGTCTCAAAGAAGAAACTATAAAAATAGTATAGACGACGTCAATGCTATTCCATGAACCTCAAAGAATGGATGTACTCAAGGGTACAGTTGTAAGAACGAGGAAGTGTATTATTTAAAAAAATAATGAGTATACAAAAATCTAGTAACGCTTGGACTTACACTAGAACACCTAATTATGTATACTATATTATATCATTGAATTCTGCCTAGCCTACATTTCGTCGCCTTCCTTACAAAGGGGCTTATCTCAAAAAATTGCTAAATTGAGTTAGGCTTTTGGGAGGCATCAAAACAGTTACTTGCAGCTACCCTCTAAAAGGCGTATCTCATATATAGGTAATCTCGTCTTTTCCAGTATTAGGCCTATCTTAGATCTGGCACGAAAATAATCTCACAAAATATTTGTAAAAACTTCTTTTTTCTCTTCTGCAAAATCTCAAAAAAATGAGATGTTTCCCTTTGCAAGGAAGGCGACGATTTTTACTTCAGTAAAACAAAACAATTGAAAATTTATTATGGGTACCTAAAAAAAAATAGAAAAAGAAGACCAACAATACAAAACAGCTAAAATCTTATCATTCTGACCTCAAAGAGGCCTCAAACTTAGAAATTGTTTGAAAAGCATCCTCAAAGAGTATTCTTTAAGTTTTGATTTGAATTCGGTCAAAGAAGGACAACTTCCAGAGTAAAAAAATTCATGATTAGGTTTGAGCAGAAGTAAATTCCATCTTCCTTGTGTGTTATGCAGGTGTCGGTCCCCAACAGCGACTACTCTATTTCTTATTGTGAAGTAAAACTTTCAGTGGGACATTTACCCAGTAGTTGAAAAGTGGAATAAAAATAGCTTTCAAAAAATAAAAACTCATAACCTTGGCTTAAAACAAAATCGCATGGCGTTCCTGATCTGTTGCGTTATTCAAGATATTTGGATAAGGAGAGAAAAGTATAGCAACAAGTAGTTTTGATTCCCGCTTGCTTCGGAGAAGTAACGTTTTGCTACAGCCACATCCCACTGTGAGCTTTTTGAGGTAGGTAATGAAATTCGTGGGAGTTTATTCCGAACGAGATTCGTGCGAATAACTCTGTATAAAATGTTTTCAAAATAGTACCGAGATATAATGGCACCTGGCCAAATCACCTGTCACATTGTAGAGTTGATTTTAAAAAAAATACAAAAAAAGCGATAGTCTGAATATTTTGACAAAAACTTTAAGCAATAAGTAACTTGTCTGTTGGGTTATTATATGAATTATTTTGTTTGTATACTTATTTATATTTAGCAGACGATTGAGCTTAGTTTTTCAACTTATTTGTTAACAACACTGCTAAATCATTTTTTTTTGTCGATAAATATTAAATAACGACCGATAATAAATTAAATAAGACACAGGAGATAAATTGATTTTCTCTATTGATAATGAAGGAAGATTCAGGTATTTAACAAGTTAGAATTTAATTTTCAATTTATTTATTTGGTGTTTTTCTCACAAAAGAAGCAATCATTTGTTTTGTCATCCGCACTAAAACTCTTTACTTACAACGACAACTTTTATTAAATAGTCTTTTACTTTCAACTTTATGCAAGAATTCTCTCATTTGAAACTGACAGCAACTTACAAACTACGCGTTTTATATACAAAACCTTTCAATCAATTAATTCACAAGAAATTGATAAACCACTATGAAAATGACAACTTGAAATACAGGAACCAAAATAACCAAGATAAAACAATCTACAAGAAAATATGATCAAGAATTGCTAGCCTCTTCTCATAAGCAGTTTTATTCCTACATGAACAGATCTCTTGGTTCAAAGACTTACACATTTCTCAGCAAAGTACCCCTAATGATGAAAAAGAAGTTGCCAATTTGTTTGCCAGTCTCAGAGTGTTTTGACAAGAGAAGATCTAAGCCATATGCCCAACCTGGATCCTGATATATTCACTTGAAATTGTAAGTTTTGCACCTGAGAAATTGGAGACTCCATTCAGACCACTAGTCCAGGAGGGGATGAAATCCCTGGCATTTTCCTGAACAAGTTTAGTATGCTGCAGCTCTGTCACATCTCCTCTCCGCCATGATGAACAATCTTCTTAGGCAGGGCAAACTACCAAGGAAAGAGAATACAATTGTAGTGCTTATTTACAAGAAGGGCAACAAAAGCCTGCCTGAAAACTATAGGCTCATTACTTTTTTCGGATAACTACCTTGAAACTAATGTTTACCAAATGGTTGATTTTCCAACACGTTTCCGAAATGAACAAGTTTCTCTACTTAATCTAGTCTTCTCTAATGATAAGAAACTGCTATATAACTTAGAACCCGAGCCCCCCATAGGAAAGAGCGACCATGTCGTCATCATTAGAAAAAGTCAACTAAAATGTGAACTGAGTCCAACGAAAACCGTATTAAAAGTGCCGACTATGAAAAAATCAATAGTTTTCTGGCTGAGCAAAATTTTGCTGCATCGGGTGGTACGTTCCACAGGTGCGTGTCAATTTCAAACAATGCTATAGACAAGTTCATTCCGTTGAAACCATGTGAAACAAACCCACAGAAACCGTGGCTAAACCAGTTCAGTCCTTGTCCCTATATGCACCAATGTAACTTAATAACAATGTCTTTTTTTTATCAAAGGCTTGATTCGCCTCCAGAAACATAATCCAACGTATCAAGAGCCGGTAATATTGAAAATTTCGGAAAATTTGGATCATTCTTGATTCACTGAATAATTTTTTCAGAGGCAATCAAAAGCCAGTAATAATAATAAACATTTTAACTATTGCTGGACAATTTTTCCAGCTTCAGACAATCATGAGCCATTTATAAATAAAATTTTAACTATTGCTCTTGATTGCCAATCACCAAAATTAATAAACCTCTAGAATTAATTACCTAATCAATTTGTCTTTAACAAACGGTTCTGTTTGTTTTCAGCGCGAACGGAAACAAAGAAAGCTCTACTCCGACGATTGGGCTCTCGGAGATGAGGAGGAAATCGAAGGCCGAAGAAGTTTCAGTCTCCAGGAAAAACTCGATGATCCCGTCTTCGAGTCCCACGGGATGGTTAAGGAAATGAGAGGCGAGGAACTTAATTTAGCCTACTTCCAGAAATATGGCTTCAATACGCCTTTACTTTTCAAAGACAAAAATGGACTCGGTAAGTAAACATTGTTTTATATATAAAAACATTTTTACATTTTTCTTTATCTTGTGTCATTTTAAGAAGACATCTTATTTATAGTGCATTTTTAATAATTACATATATTGTGAAGCGTGAAGTATAGCATTTTTCTTGATTGTTTGGAAAGATTCTTAATTTTGTATATTCACCAGTTGCACCACTAATAGATGGCGAGTTTACATCTTCGGCAGCGTAATCCTTTAATTGCAATCATGACCGAATCTGTTGAGCTTTATTGATCAACCTTGAAAAAGGATTTCGTTTTCAGGCCACTGCTTGTCGAAGAGATCCTTGCATGATTTAATTCAATAACCTGTACTGTCTGCTGAAAAAGGCGAAACAGGCCAAAAATACAAAGTTAAAAAAGTAAAAGCCATGGCCTGTTTGGTCACCTCTCTTTTACATTACTGTATGTTGTATGTATAAAGGGTGTTTCAGAAATTATGTTTTCCAATTTTGAAAATAAATAGCTGAAATTTTGTACATAGCATAAGTATATCTTTTGTTCTTTTTTCAAAAATGTCCACAATCTTTACGATAAATCTTGATCTTTTTTGAATTAGTTTATATACCTCGGAAACAAAACTTTTCCAGAACCATGTCCATATTTTGATGAGTAATATCCGCCCTTAAAGTTTGTATCATAATTTCTGAAACACCCTGGTGTATACTTGTAAATGAACAAAGTTTTTAATCTAACCAACATCGACTTGATATGAATAAACCGCTAAATTAACGCCAAACGAAAAAAAAAAAAAAAAAGTAAATAATGACAGCTTGATAACGGGAACCAAAAGATCGCTGTAGAGCTCTCGACCGTCACGTAACAAATTCGAAGTAAAAGTGCGCCTTTTCCGGTTTATGTTTTGCGGATGGGAAGCGTGATGGCGCACCGTTGTCGGATTTACGACGTGAATTTACTAAAACATCGTTTTTAACTAGGTAGATAGGAATCCTATCAGAGAACTCAATTAAATTTGTTGCATAACGTGTCTGTTTCGGGGATTTAGGTGCAGTTTGGGTAATCCTGTTCTGGGCCAGGATTGTCCTCTAGAATAAAAGGAAAATTGTCCAATCCAGAATCCAGGCAGATTTTCTCTTATTTTAAATAAGATGAATGGTTGAAGTTAGAGATAAAGAAACTAAACATTCAAATAGCTTTGACTTAAGAGCAACTTTTTTCTATTATAGATAGAAAGCTGAAATTTTCAGCGAGTCTTATTTTCGTGGAGGATTAAAATCCCTCAAAATTTCAGTTCATTTGGACTTATAGTTCCAGAAATAAACTCGCGTTAAGCAATGTGGGGCGAATTCTTCAATTTCCTGATGTCCTTTTATCAAAGATCTGGGCTCGATACCTTTATTATCTTTTGGATCTAAAATATTATGTATATCGAGATGTATATTAACTATACCATCAGTTACGTATTTTGGATTTAATCCTAGTTTTCTTCATTCTAATTTGTCTTGATCGTTTGGAATTGTCTTCAACTTTTTGACAGTCTTCTCCAAAACTGTCTCTAATGTCAAAAAATCCAATAGTATATCGTATCTAAACTGCTGGACAATTGCTTTCGAGCAAGGATTTTTTTTCGCCTTACTTTCAAGCTTTATATTTTTGGAACCAGACCAAATATCGGTTTTCACGGGCTGACAGATTGATTTTTTGTGAAAAAAATTGCATATGGAAACCAAAGGTCGATATTTGTGCTTGAAAGCAATTGTCCAGCAGTTTAGTTTATTTGTTTATGTATTTACGGGATTACTCCATTATTAATATAATCTTTCAATTGTTACAATATAGTTGGCAGCATATATTACTTAGAATTAATCAACTAATTACTAAATATTACTTAAATATCCATTACTGACTACCACATATTTTAACTTATTAATTACTACCCTCTATAACCCATCTTATTATTAACTACCTATTCTGTTAATCTGATTCACAAACATTCTTTTACTAATGCCTAATATTTCTATGTTATTTTGGTTTATAACAGCCATGCACCTATCAATAGGGTACCTACTTGCATGGAAAATTAAATTGATTATTGTTTATTGCAAACTGTAGGAAATCGAAAAAAAATCGTTGCTTTTTTTTTTATTTCGCCCAAATATGATTATTCCGGAAGTTATTCAAATATTAAGTTTTGTATACAGGGTGTCCCACAATCAGCGTTACAGGCCATAACTTTCTTATTTTTAGAAATAAAAATTTGAAAAAAAAAATTGACCAATGGTTGTGGGACACCCTGTATATAGATATACTGAGCATGTGCAACGTCACTAATTTATTAGATAAGTGACGTCATAGGCAGATTTCATAGTGTTGTATCTCCGTCAATTTTTGACTAAGAAGAAAAAGAAAAAAACGCGTGTTAACTTATTTTTCATGGACTATCGAAATCAGCAATAAAAAAAATTTGATGCAAGAAGCCTATTGGTGAGTTAAGACCTGACACAAAAGGGATAGTCGTAACGTAACCGCCTTGATGGTATATGGAACTGAATCTGCTGCAATAATTCTGGACATGAAATTTGGGAGTTAATAATATACAATATGCATAAATCAGCTTTCAAACGCTGTTCTAATAACTCCATGTCTATTGTAGTTCTTACTTCATTGTAATTGTGATCAGCTATATTCATATTCAGTCTTACTGCACAATATCTGAGAAATCTATTCTGAACTCTCTCCAACAGTACTATAGGCATGTTGTAAAACAGTGACCATATAATTGACCCATATTCGAGTTGAGAGCGAACTATGCCAGTATACACACATTCAAGTGATTCCACTCCAAAGAATTTGCTCCTTAAAACAAAACCCAACATTTTAGATGATTTCACAATTAAATTATTGATATGTTCCATGAACCTCAAACTCTCATCAAATACTACACCCAGGTCGGTTACCCTACTTACATATTTGAATGGAAGATTATTGAGAGAGTACAGAAAATCAAGTTTGCTTTTTACTCTGTGAAAACTTATATGGAAGCACTTCTCAACATTGAGTTTCAACCTATTTGTAACACACCACTCAAAGAGACTATTTAGATCTTCTTGTAATAATTGTTGATCACTGACATTGGACACGACTTTATACAATTTCAAATCGTCAGCAAATAATAAAGGTGTACTATATTTAAAACATGTTACAATATCATTAACAAATAGGTTGAAGAGCAGAGGTGAGCACTGGTCACCCTGTGGCACTCCAGATGCGACGCCAATATGGTGTCAGACTTGCTATCACCAATCCTCACTCTCTGTAAGCTGCCCGACAAGAAACTACCCAACCACTTAACCAAATGTGTATTAAAGCCTATGTCCAATAGTTTTTGCATCAGTATCCTATGGTCAACGCTGTCAATTCCCTTGGCAAAAACCCGTATAAACAACATCAACCTGCGCCTTGTCTTCCAATGCACTAAACATTGACGTCTGGTAGGATAGTAGGTTTGTTAAAGTGGACTTTCCCTCAATAATCCCATGCTGTGCTTCACTGATCAGACGTTTACATGCAAATGTTAATTGATCACATACCAATTTGTCAAATAATTTTGGTATAGCCGATTGTGTACAGATACTACGATAGTTCTGCACATTATGTCTATCACCGTTCCTGAAGATGGGCACTAAAAAGCTTTGTTTCCAATAATCGGGAAAAGTCTCACAATTAAGTGACTGGTTAAACAACAAAAAAAAGGGGACTAGAGATTGCGCACACACACACCTTTTAATAAAAAAGTTAGGTATTCCATCAAGACCAACCGTTAATTTGTCAGGAAGATCCGAGATTGCTTTATATATGCTACTCATACTGATATTTCCACAATTTATGTTCTGAGTATTAATGCTATGATCAGTTAATACCGACTGTTGTGTACTACTTGCTGAGTAAGCCGTTGCAAAGTATTTACTAAATCCGTTTGCAATATCTTGATTATTGCCAAGATTTTCTTCATTGTACATCATCCTGGAAAGTAAACTGTAAGATTTTTTCTGATCAATCACATATTTCCAGAATAATTTGGGATTTACTTTACAAGATTCATCAACACTCCTTAAATAGTTAGTTCGACCAGCAATTGATAACTTTTTACACTGTGCCCTAAGACGAGAAAATTCTATGTAGTTTTCATTAGTACGATCATTTACAACATTTTTATGGGCAGATCTTTTTAAGTTAGTTAGATGTCTCAATTCTGGGCTGAACCATTTGGGAAAGTGGGACGTTTTTGACTTTTTTAGTGGTACAAAGTAGGCTATCGCTTCTTCCAATAGTTCATAAAAAAATTCCTATTGACATATTCAAATCTGATGCAGAAACTACTCTTTTCCACTGCACTGATGCAAGATGGTTATTTAAGCCTATGAAGTTAGCATTCCTAAAATCATAGTAATAATCCACTATAACCAGGTTGTTATTGGACTTGTTTTGAAGGTTATAAATACACTCATAGGATGTGTGATGATTACTGGCTTCAAATAGGTATAATGTCATTTGCCTTTCTGACAGCTAAATCCAGAGTACATCTGAGAACACCAAATCTAAAAATACTGACCTATTATTTGGTAATGGCGTAAGTGCATTTGAACTCAATGGACATTCAACCCTGACACCAAAATCATTATTGGGCCACAAAGCCTCAGGCAAATTATAGTCACCACACAATAAAACAGAATGTCCACTATAAGTACAACATATCTCATCGACAGCCTGACAATGCATGTCATAGCTCAAATTTGGTTGGGCTGGCGGGATATAGACACCACCAATGATGAATTTTGACCTACCTATTTGGCATTCCACAAATAGTTGTTCCACTCGACAATGATCGACCATAACTCTTGATGCCATAATATGCTTTTTGACATAAATAAGAATACCGCCACCATTTGATTTGTTGCTTGTTTCCGGGGATCTGTCTGTCGCATCGAAAGGTTTTTGAAATCAGTACATC